GTGAGTACATACTATGTTCCGAATAAAAAATTCCATTTCCGATCCGATCCAGACCAAACTTGGCACACATACACTTCGGGGAGGGGGGGGGGGTGTCGTAGGCTATCTTTCGTTGTCGACCGATATCGATTTTATCCATTTTGTCGATTTTTGTAAAGTTTGAGCTGCGGGATTGGGAGTTGGCACAGGGGGAGGTAAACGAGGATGCTGATTACGAGTACAATATTAGTTCTTGAAATTATCCATTGCTTTTATCGATTTTATCGATTTCTTTTGTAAATTTTGAGTTACGGGGCTGGGAGTTGGCACAGGGGGTAATCGAGCATGCTGATTACAAATGCAAGGTTAGTTTTTGAATTTATCCATTACTTTTATCGATTTTATCAATTTTTTGCAAAGTTTGAGCTACGGGCTGGGAGTTGGCACAGAGAGGAGGATAATTAGCAAGCATGCTGATAACTAACACAGCGGGAATAGGAGTTGGAGTTGGTATGTAGAAGTGGGCACGGGGAAAGGTTGTACAGAAATGGGGATAGGAGCTTTATCATAGTGTTTTGACAGAGCCGGGCGGAGCCGGGTGAGCGAGCTAGTAATCTGTGATTTTTCCTTTTATACCATATACCTATCGCAACTCTTACTGCGAAGTCAGAATTTTGCGAGACTGTGGCTGCGCTTGTAGCTTACGTCACGGCTTACATGATGGGAACGTTTGAGCGCGTCATATGCAAAGAAAGAAGTTATAAAAGTAGTTGCAAAACTTAGTTAACAACATAATATATCAAGTTGTCCCAAAAGTTTTGTCTGTTTTTTCAAACCACTAAAAACGCAAAAAAAGATCCGAATGAGTTTCAACATGCTTTCAATGCAGCTTTACCTTCTCTTTTTTATGGATACATTTTGGAACCACAAGCTTGTATGCTTTTGATAATTGCCAAAGTTCTCCATCCGTCAATTTTATCTGCTCGAAGTTAAGCTAGTTTCTAAGAATTTTATTCCAAAGTTTCAGAAAGGCTTAAGTGTGGATCAAGTAGAGCAATTCCCGGGCTACAAGGTTATTTTTTAGGTTCTTCTAATGTGCTTTTTTAGCTGCAAAAAATTATTCCTTCGGGGGTTTCGATTTTTGGCAAAGTCATGAAACACGCAACTGCAGCAAATACCCTTACGAATGCTCTTAAAGTTTCTGCGGGAAACATAATTTTATGAAACATAATTTGGGCAACATAACCAAGTTTGATTTGTTCCAAAAAAGAAGCTTTTTGGCAGGTTCGGTACTTTTTCGTAGCAAACGTAGTCAAAAAGCCGCGGTTCTTATTGAATAGATAATTATAACGGACTTGGTAAACGTGGCCCATTTAATCTAAAATGAGTACAATGTAGCCAAAGGTTTGCTGCTCTACATACCTGTAACCAGCACTCTTTGTAAACATCAAAATGAAAAATTTGGAAAATCTAGAAAGATTTGGCGTTACTGATGCGTTACTGCTCAAAAAACCGTTACTGCTCAAAAATGGCGAAAACATTGCAAAGGCAGGGTAGATCAGAGAGCAAACATAGCTGTAAAAAGAGGATAAAAATCTGAACCAAATGGTACTTGAGTCGTCCATGGATTGATGTTCTGTGAGTTTGATGAGCGATGGAAAAAACGGACGGGACTTTCGGGAACCAAATACAATATGTAGTTATCTCAATTTTTCTTGTATAATTTCCATTTTATGTTCCACATGCAATTTTCCATTTTTACCATGGAACATACGAAAGTAGTTAACAATTATATACATGAGAACTCCATAAGCAAACGTATTGCAAAACATGATTTATGTGGGACATGGATCCCTCGCCCTTGAGGTGTTCGCATCTGGCGCTGCGGTGTCCTCACTCTCTGACCAAGAGCCAGCAATATGAGCTTTTATTATGAGTAGAGGTGACTTTTAGGCCCGCATGCGCTAATACCGTTGGGGAGAGGATCGTAGCTTAAAAGAAAGCTTCATATCTAAAGCTCCAGATATCTGAAATTCACGCTGTCTACCTATCCGCAGTATTCCTACTATCCTCCACTACGGGCATATTGAGCAGGAGCGAGAGACTATACAAGCAGCATTTTCCACTTTTTGTATGATCCCCGGTGGTCAATCATTTTTCTTCAAAATCGATTTCCTTTTTCGGAGTTAATGAAAACCTTTCAAAGTTGTACTGATTATTTTACTCAACAGTGCCAAGCATGTTGCTGATAAGAACAAATGAGTTTGAAAAGTCGAAATTTCCGATAAACCCCTACTTTCGACTTGTGGTTCATCGCGAATTCCTTAACTCCAATACATCAATCTTTCCTATCAGCAACTTAGCACTATCGGGTTAGATAATCTGTACAACTTTGAAAGCTTTTTGTTAGCTTCAAAGAACGAAAAATGGTTTTAAAGATAAAATGACTGACCGCTGAGGATCATTAGGGGATCAAACAAAAAGCTGAAAATGATGCCTGTACAGCTTTTCGCTCCCGTTCAATGTGTTTATAATGAAGAATAGTAGGAATACCTGTGGATAGGTATACAGCGTGAAATGCAGATATCTGGAACTTTAGAATATGAAGCTTTCTTTTGAGCTGCGGCCTCCTCCCCGGCAGATGCATGCGGCCAGGGGCCGGCACAGGTGGTCTGGGGTCAAAATGAACTTCGTTTTCGAAGTTAGAAGCAACGGGGATATCGTTTTTGTAAGTTCCTGGGGGAAGCGCCGATAAAAAAACGACGAACATGTTAGGATTTAAGAGCAAAACGTGTTCTTTCGCAAGCGCGCGAATTTAAGACGCAAGGCTCAAACAAACAGATGGCTTGTTTACAGCGCAGAAACAATCACATGGCTCCGAATTTGGGCTATGTATATACAGTACACTCCAAACTATGTTATGTGAAAAGTTTCAAAAACTTACGTGTCCTAATGTTTCCGCATTTGTGGTTTAGACCAACACCAAACCAACTGCGTTGGTTTGGAGCATAAATATCGGAGAGTTCATATAAGTTTTGGCCCTTCTTGTTTTAAACGATTAGAACGGTTATAAATCTAATGTATAGTGAAGGCGAATCAAACCATTGCCTCTCCTCTTTTTTGAGCCAATAGTGTAAATCTATGCATTAATAGATATTGCACTCCAATCACATGCGGCGTCCTATGAAAATGTGGAGAAAAATGCATCGCCAGATTGAGGCCACAGATTTGGTTGGCCTAGGAGATTTTCGACATTCTGGGAACTAAAATGGTACCCTACCCAATGGTAGAGCTTTTAATGAACTCGAAATATTTTCTTTTTCTTTTTTGTTATATTAGGTACCTCAGCGCTTTTTCGCTTATTATTATTATTTTGATTGCATAAGGGTTTTCCTACTGGTTTTTACGTCAAGAGGGACTTCCTAAATTTTCGCGAATTCATGGGGGACTTCGATTCCAAAAATGCTCCAAACCAACGCGTGCCGGGCCCTGCATGCGGCCCTCACAGTTGTTGCAGATACAAGCTAAGCATAACGATGCTTGCCGTAAGTTTACTTCAGAATCTTCCAAGCAATTGCTCTGTGTGCCGTGTTGCTTCGTTTGACATTACTCTGTGTGCCGCGTTGCTCCGTTTGACATTAGACAGCAAGAGAGACATCTGTAGCAGTGTGGCTACTAACGACTAGCAAAATTTCGACGACGCGTGCACGCGCAATTCTTGCACCGACCAAGCCATGGTCGTGAGCAGCATGTACTTCAATCGAAAAGATCATAACCATACCTTACTTACATTGCGTCCTATCCCGGATGCATACTGCAAGACCCTATATGTTTGTTGCTAATCTCCTACTCTTTTTGCAAGACCTTTCATGATACAGAGGAAAACCATTAGACGGTCAGTCATTCTATAAGTCATTTGCAATTCAACAAGATATTTGCACATTCTACACGGCTATCTTCTCTTCACTACAAATGACCAACAAACCAATTCGAGGAAGTAAAGAGCTGCACATTACACCACTGCTAGACTCGAGAAGAGAAACAAAACAAAACAGAATCTTTTAGAAAGGGCAAGTGGTAAGATGTTCTGAAGTGGAGTATTTTGCTTGCATTACGTACGGTGAGTAAAAAACGACAAGATTGTGTGTGATGCGGTGGCTAAAACAAGGATTTGTGCCCTAAAACAGCAAAAAAAAACCATGAAGTATACTTTAAAACGTACCTAGAACAAACTGTAATACAGTGCTGGACATAATTATACAGCCACTCTAGAAATCGTCGTAAGTTTTGTTCTTGTCAATGAATCTGTCTGAAACTTTGCTGTATTGTGCGCATGTCAACCTACCATAACCCCTCAAAACGGCTTCCAGTCTTGTTGCATCATTAGAAATCTGAAAGTTGTTGCGAAGGCTGCATGCCCATGTAGGCAATGTAGTAAATCAAGTTCAGCACTTTGTGTACATTACAAACTGAGTTTTCGGGTGCAAAAGTGCGTCAGCTCTATGGTGAGGTTGGAGTATGTCCGGCAAAATCAGCGATTACGCAGAGTTTAAAAAAGCGCTCTTCACGTCATCTATCCAGAAGGGTCAGTAGATTCCATTTTATTATTTGAAATGAACAAGAGCTTGAAAACTTTTCAAACCAGCTGTTTGTTGAAGCAGACTGACTTTTGGTGCTTTTGGAAGCAAAAAATGTAGTGATCGCTTCTACTTGAGTAGGATGACAGGCCGTAGGTAATGCAAATGTTTCATATTTTGGGATGTAATTGTACAAAAAAATTTGAGAGTCAACGAATGCGATAGTGATTAGAAAAACCAGGTGGCTGTATAATTTTGTCCAGCTTTCAAAGAGGGCTTTTTCGATTTTTTTCGTTTTTCTGCGTTCAAACTCAACAAGACTGGAACCCGTTTTGAGGGGTTATGGTAGGTTGACATGCGCACAATACAGCAAAGTTTCAGACAGGTTCATTGACAAGAACAAAAATTACGACGATTTCTAGAGTGGCTGTATAATTATGTCCAGCACTGTATATGAGAGCTGCATCGGTGTGCGAAGCCCAGTCACATTCCTAAGGAGTGGCTTGTAACGGAGCGGATTCGCTGAGGTAGCACTGACATGACACTGGTAACTGAAAATGATAGACTTGGGACCTCATGACCGCTGTTTTACTTTGTCTCAATGAGAGCATTTACAAGCTGTGAGATCTTCTCCAAAATTTCAACTGTGAGGCAGCAAGTTCTTTAGGTCGCCCAAAACCGCCAGAGCGCCCCATTTGTGCAACCTAAGAAAGCATCCAGGGCGCACCGGTTGTAGCTTTTGCAGATCTTAACCGCGTTTTATGCAGAAAAAGCGCGTCGGGTCAATTTGTTGGTGGTGCTAGGGCGCTATAATTCAACTGATCGATCTATATTTTTACAGATTTCATATAGACTTATTTTTGTTGCAGGCACTTTTTGAGATAGACTCTGTAGAAAAGAATCCAAGACTTGACGTACCACCAGCTGAGCAGATGCGCGGAGTAGGGCATACATCTAGCTAAAGTTACCAAAGTGGACTCTGCTTGCTGTTTCTTTGGATGATGCTCAAGTTCATGATTTGTAAGTGATTCTGTGTAACGAAAACCGATACGGTATCAAGTGCATCCCTGCACGTCAATGATGATGCATAGTCGTTAGCTCAAACTGAACCGCATCGCCTCAAGAGACTTAAGCATGAACGAAAAACTGAAAAACAAAAGGGCAAAAAGCAGCTAGCACTCGTAGTTATTATGTACTCAGAGAATCGCCGGGGATAGGCGGCCAAACGATTTAGGGGCAAGCAGGCACCGGAAAAATAGTTTGCTGATTTCTCGATGGTCCGCTTGCAGATATTTGGGAAAATGTTAGGCATTTTCTAGGCGAACGTGTAGGAATTATCCATAGATTCGTTGCGGCGCAGTGGTCGCATTCCCGTAGACCTTTCGCGAGAATATGCAAAAATTGAGGGCCGCACGGTCCTTTGTGAAGAACCGCACAGCCCTTAGTACCTTCCACTGAGAAAAGGTGCCCCAAACTCGGGTATTTACATGCGAGCGATGCTCGCAAGTACGAGCCATGGATCGCAGATGCGAGCGATGGCTCGCATTCAATTACCTATGCGACTATGATTCGCAAGGCTCCATTCAATTACCTAAACCGGGTTTTTTGACCATAACTTGCTTCAAACTGCATATGAGGGGGGGGGCTAAAAAGTTATGGTAGTGTACATGTGTGAGGGGTCTCTAACGTGATTTTTAGGGTAATTACTGGGCAAACTTAGGCCGGTATGCACGTAACATCCCCGTTGGGGAGGGGAGGGGATCTGAGAGAGGATGCGTCGTATCTCGCTACTCTACGTATCTTTCTTCTTCTTTCTCTATCTTGCTTATTGAGTTTTTCAAACACTTATACCTGTGCATAATGGATGCCAGGTTACTTCTATACAAGACTGGTTTTTTCCATTTTGTGTGATCCCCAGGGATTCCCCTGGGGATCACTTCTCATTTTCAAATTGATTTATTAGGTTGGCACATAAGTTTTGCAACTTTTCCCGTAACTTTTTTCCTATTTTATGTAGCAATCTCATTTTGTGGCATCATGTAGATCGTAATGTAAGCTGCAAGTCTGCGTAAACCGTTTGATTTTTGGATAACATAGTACAAAAAATCTAAGCATTTTTTGAAAGCTGCTGAAAATCGAGGTTTCACGATTTTTTGGCAAACATGAAGCCCTACGAAACCTGATTCAAACATATGAAAAAGCAATTATAGGCAGCATGTAGCTGGAAGTTGGCACATTGGAATCAGGGAAAAAGAAATGAAATCTAAACACAAATTAAGGTGGGGCGTCTTTGAGAAGTTGAACAAGTCAAATGCGTCAAGTTTTGAAGGCAATTTGTCAATAATAAAGCTGCGAAAAGTCAGAATTCGCTATAACTTTGCACTATAGGGTAATCCTATGCGGTAAACATGAATATGATATTCAAATGTCGCTAAAATGAAATTCATCTTTTGATCTCACGAACGAGGCCTTTTCATGCGAAACGGATCTCATTTTTGTGATCAGCATGTCAAATAAGCCCTATAGGCCAAGTTTCAGCGTAATCTGATGCATTCTAAAATTTTTCCCATAGTACCGTAAACCTACCGTAATCCTCACATAATATGGTAAAATTCGGCAAAAATGTGTGCATTAGAAGCTTACATCATATTCCTTATATTGCCAAAAAATGAATGCGTCTGATCGAATTTGCTCTAAAATCTGCTCAAGATCACAATACCGCTTTATGTTACACAGCGTCTGTGTAACATAAAAGATTTTAGTAAGCACTATTCGATAGTACTGCTCTTGTAGGTTATCGTGCGTTTAAAATAGCTACAGACTGTCTTCCGAAAGAGATGGAAGCGTTGGCGAATTTTGGAAAAGTCACGCGTTTTTGAATTCTACTCGCCGTAACTTTCTTCAAATCGAACATATTCTGAATCCGAAGAAAGCTTTGTGCTTAGTTCGTCAAGGCAAATCTTTTGGTATACCATGTCCTTGATATTCCAATTTCAGTATTCTCAAATCTTTCTGTGGACGTCTTTTCGCAAAGGTGTAAAGCAGTGCGCATTGCCCCTAGTAGACTCCAGCAGAAAATCGTTCGATAGCAAATCCGAAGATTATGGATCGCCAAAAAATTGCCGTAGGCCCCTTTCCAAATTAGACAGAAGGGCTTGCAAATTTTAGAAAAATCACGCGTTTTCAAATTTTTCTCGCCATAACTTCCTTCTGAATAAGTATATTATAAATCCGAAACCAGTGCTGTCTCAGCTCATCAATGCGAATCTTCTGATTTACAGCATGTCCTTGATGTTTCGATTTCAGTATTCTTGAATTTTTCTGCGGACGTCTCTTCGCGAAGGTGTAAAGCAGCGAGCATTTTTCCGAGTAAATTCCAGCAAGGACCTTTCGATAGTACTTTTCCTGTAGATTATGATGCGCCAAATAGTAGACGCAGATTTCTTTTCAGAGGAAATAGAACGGGTGAGTTGTGAAAAAATCTTGTCGCTCCAAAATCTACTCGCCATAGCCCTAGAATACGAAGCTATCTTGCTAAGCAGATGTGAGTTTCGAAATCAGCGGGTCGGATAATCTCTATGAGCAAGTTTTCCGATATGTTCGGGTTACTTCATTTTTTCAGCTCTATGGAAGCTTGCCGATGGATTTTGGTCAAAATGTCGAAGTTATTAAATTGTAAAGAAATTTCGCTTATAGAGGTTTTCAAACACACTCTTTACGAAAATCGTGGTCTTTGAGGATCACAGGGTCTTTTTGGAGAGATACGGTGAGGTGACTGTAACTGCACCACAAAAGCGCGCAAAATTGCCCGCACCTCGCGTATTTGTCAGAAAACCTGCCTGCTTGCTTTTCTAAGTTAAAGTTAATAGAAACTGCGCTATCGAGTGGTGCATGATTCAGGCTCAAGTCTATGAAGATGCCGAGTTACGAGCCTACGAGAAACGTCCTCATGAATTTTGCCCAAAATGTAAAGTTCGCAAATTTCGTCGAAATTCCACCGTGAGCTTGTACAACACGCTAATCAAACCCTTTCACATGCCTAATGGATCTTACTGTGTTAGATTTGGTAGTTTGAGCTCTAGCCACGAAATAGCTGTGATATTCAATTGAGTTGCTGAAGCACACGCAAGCACCATATTCAATGCAGTGGGAGTCATTGAGCGAAGCGCACATAATATCCGCAATGCGAGTGTCAGTGTCACAAGTGCACACGGTGGAATTTCGACGAAATTTGCGATCTTTACATTTTGGGCAAAATTCATGAGGACGTTTTTCGTAGGCTCGTAACTCGACATTTTCATAGACTTAAGCCTGAGTCATGCACCATTCGATAGACAGTTCCTAGTAACTTTGACTTAGAAAAGCAAGCAGGCTAGTTTTCTGACAAATACGCGAGAAGTGCGGGCAAGGTTACGAGCTTTCGTGGTGCAATTACAGTCACCTCACCGTATCTCTCCAAAAAGACCATGTAATCCAAAGACCACGATTTTCGTAAAGAGGTGTTCGAAAACCTCAATAAGCGAAGTTTCCTTACAATTTAAGAACATCGATATTTTGACCAAAATCCATCGGCGAGCTTCCAGAGCTAAAACGAGAAAAAATGAAATAACCCGAACATATCGGAAAACTTGCTTATAGAGGTTATCCGACCTGCTGATTTCAAAACTCACACCTGCTTAGCAAGATAGCTTCGTATTCTAGGGCTATGGCGAGTAGATTTTGGAGCGACAAGATTTTTTCACAACTCACCCGTTCTATTTCCTTTGAAAAGAAATCTGCGTCTATTGTTTGGCGCATCATAATCTACAGGAAAAGTACTATCGAAAAGTTCTTGCTGGAATGTACTCGGGACAATACTCGCTGCTTTACACCTTCGCAAAGAGACGTCCGCAGAAAGATTCAAGAATACTGAAATCGAAATATTAAGGACATGCTGTAAATCAGAAGATTCGCATTGATGAACTGAGCACAGCACTGTTTTCGAATTCAAAATATACTTATTCCGAAGGAAGTAATGGCGAGCAGATTAAAAACGCGTGATTTTTCCAAAATTTGCCAGCGCTTCTGTCTATTTTGGAAAGGGGCCTGCGGCAATTTTTTGACGATTCATAATCTACGGAAAATTTGCTATCGAACGATCCTTTGCTGGAGTCTACTAGGGGCAATGCGCACTACTTTACACCTTTGCGAAAAGACGTCCACAGAAAGATTTGAGGATACTGAAATTGGAATATCAAGGACATGGTATACCAAAAGATTTGCCTTGATGAACTAAGCACAAAGCTTTCTTCGGAATCAGAATATGTTCATTTTGAAGAAAGTTACGGCGAGTAGAATTCAAAAACGCGTGATTTTCCAAAATTCGCCAACGCTTCCATCTCTTTCCGAAGACAGTCTGCAGCTATTTTAAACGCACGATAACCTACAAGAGCAGTACCATCGAATAGTGCTTACTGGAATCTTTTATGTTACATAGACGCTGCGTTACATCCTTGCGAAAGGACCTCCACAGAAAAATTCGAGAAAAATGGAAACGGAATATCGATGGCAT